ATAAATAATTGTTAGAATCGAAAAAGTCACTGAAAAAGTTCGTCTGAACAGTCGTCGGGAAGTCACCGGAAACTTCGCCGGACAGTCGCCGGGAAAGTTCACCGGGAAGTTGCCGAAAAGTTCGCCGGAGTAGGGTGATGATTGGAACGATTGCCGGAGCGGTAAGGCTGGTGAATGTGGGATGGGTTAATTATATTATATTAGAATTAAATATTTAATAATAAATTAATTTAATAATTTATTATTTCATAGATAAAAATTTTAAAAAAAATCTAATAAAAATCTGATTTTGATAATTTTAAACTTGTGTTCTTATTTTTGAAATAGACTAAACTTATACTCTTGAATATGTAATCTTCCCTTAATATTATTACCGAATTTTGGGTCACCTCTATGGGTGGGCAAAAAAATCGAAAACCCGATTAAACCGATNACTCTTGAATATGTAATCTCCCCTTAAAACAATATGCCATCATTCAATCCAATGTAGTCTCCGAATTTTTCAAAATAGATTCTTTGAAAAGTGATTTTTTTTTAGAATATCTGGTTAAAAAGTAGAAAAAAAATATTATAAATCCACATACAAAATTATTTTATTGAAATAATTATAATTGAATTGAGTTTGGGAAACCATGAATTTTAGAAAAATTGAGGGCCAAAAAGGGACTCAGGGCATGTTCGATCGTGCTTAAAATCCAATTAAAATTGAAAATATAACCGTTATTGGGTCTCACTCGTCTAATAAAAGTCAACAATAACGGCTAATTTTTTAATTTAATCCGATTTTAATCCCTATCGAACACACCCGTAGTGCGTAATGTTAGAATATATATATAAATTTCATTTTCATTTTCATATATATATATATATATATATATATATATATCTAATTTTATTAGATCCTCGCTATGAAACATGTTATTACAAAACGATAACCTACTAAAATCCCATTTTGTATCATTTCACCTTGTCAAATCCAACTCTTACAACCCCACCCCACCCGAACCAAGACAACTGGCAATTTTTGATTCTTCTCAGATCAGATAAACTAGTCTAGTCTAGTCTAGGATTACAAGTGTGATTTTTTTGTTTGTATTATTCTATCTTTTTCTCTTCTACTTATAAATAGGTACATCTCTTTCTTCTGAGCAAGAAACCTGTACAGAAGAAAATCTTAATCTGAAATAATGAACATATCAAATTCTGAATGTAGTAGTGGTTGTGAATCCGGATGGACTATGTATTTCGATCAATTTTCGAATTACTCGGGTCAAGACAACCCGGGTTTTGGTAGGCCTGTTGATGAGTATTATGGAAAAGGTGGTTATGCCAACGATGACACAGAAGGTGAAGATCTATCCATGGTGTCTGATGCATCATCTGGCCCTCCGATTCTCGAATATGAGTACGAAAAATCGCCCGTTGGACGTCAAACGAAGAGCAAGCAGAAGAAGAAAACAAAAGAGCAACAAAATCTGTATCATGATGATACTGCTAGCTCACCTTTCTTTCATTTCTCCCAGGTTAGGTCAATGAAACAGCATTATTCTGTATTATTTTCGAGGACTCGTAGATAATTATGTTTTTGATCGAATTTCAGGACAATGTAGGATCTTTTAGCAATCAAAATCTAAAGGAACATGTTCCTTATTTCTCACAAGGAGCGTCTGCTGCAAATTTCGAGGTAAGTCTTGAGAAAATAATTCTGATAATCTTGAAGAAATAAAGAGGGGTGGGGTCCTTTGTAGCTCTGAAGAAACTCTATTAATATCTCGTTTAATTTCCTGTAGGGTGAATCTAACAGGAAAAAGCATTTAAATTTCCTCAAATCTTCACTAAAAGGGAAATCAGCATCAGGAAAATCAGGTAAATAATTATTTGAAATATCATGATATTGCACAAATTCAAGAGACCTAATTCTCTGTTTGTTTATTTGTTTGTGGACAGAAGGTTTTCTGGGAAGAAAGAAGCACTAAGCAATGGATTTGGAAGTAAAAGGGAAAAAGCAATAGAATTTCTGAGGATCTTGTTTCTCTCTTTAAATTTTATTTTATTTTTCTACCTTGTAATTTTCTCCTGTCTATGTAGTAGGGAACAACCTTAGAACATAAATGTAAAAAAAAAAAAAAAAATTCTTTTTTTCCCTAGAAATTTCTTCCATTTAACTTTGGACTGGACCCTTAACAAGATTTTATATCAATTAAGCTATTTGTTCCTAGTAAGTTTGATACCCTTATTGACATATGGGTGACGTGGAAAGATTGTGATGATTGAATTAAATGTGAGAAATATGAAAGATGACGTGAAATTGTGTCAAGTGTAAATTTGATAAATCAAGGTGTAAACCAGGATGTACATGTAGCAAGATTGTTGTTATATTAAGCTTGCTTAACTCGTAAGATGACGATTTGACTTTGATTATTATGGACTAGTACTAGTTTTTGAATTTTAAAAATGAAAACAACACTCTCGTCTAGCGATAATATAAGTGCCATTGGACACGATCCTCAAGCTAACTTACATATAATTGTTGGGATTGATTGTCAACCATTACTCATACAAGTAAGGTCGTTGAAAATATTAATGGCATGTTTGCTATTGTAGATTGAAGGTAAAATAAGTTAAAATTTTGAGACTTGAGTATTTGCAATTCAATTCAAAGGTACGCGAGACTTGAACATTCTTGTCGGCACATATAATTGAAGAGTTATGAATACGAGTGAGCCACATTATTCTACTCAGAGAAATGCCAGCATAGCAATGAACAATGAGTTGGACTGAGGTGACTAAATTTGGTTATGCTATGTATTTATAAACTTGATTCTTTTGTATTTCTGTTTTCCACCTAAACTCCAAAACAGCCGCACCCCACCATTTATCAGACCT